ATGGCTGTCTTTGATAAGATGCTCAGAACAGTCTTGGCTTGGGAGGTGCTGTTTGAGAATGCATGTGAATAATGGAGTAGGTTGAATCATGAGAGCTCTGGTGAAAGACCATTCCAAGGAGAGGAAACAGCAGATGCAGAAACTATGAGATCAGAAGAATTGTACCCTATTCTTGGAATAGAAAAATGATCAGTATGGCTGGGGCAAGTTGTAAGAGTGCGATATGACAGATGTAGCCAGAGACCAGATCTCATGCAGTGTTTTATACACCAAGATAAGGAACTTAGATTTATTCTGAGTAGGATAGGAAGCTATTGGAGGGTTTTGAGTATGGGGATGGGATAGGATAGCGTTGAGCTGGTAGATAGCAAGAGTAAAAGTGTAGGAAAGAGATGATAATAACAGACTCTTAGCAATGTTATAGGTAATGAAGCTTGACTTGGGAATTTTTTTTAACTTTGTGTACTGTTTTGATTGTTTTGCAGAATTCTCAATGTAAAGCATACTTGCAAATATTCAGCTGTGTAAAAGAGCCAGTGTCTTAGTGAAATGGAAGGCATGATTCTTTTGTTTTAAATAAATATATAAACACACCTTGGGTTCTTCAAGCATTTGGACTCTAGGTCTGAGTATCAGAGATTCCTTGCTGAGACCCACAGTGATGTCATCATATCTCTCTCTTCCTACCCCAGTAATCAGTACATGTAATTGGGTGCCAGTAGTTAAACAGGATCACAATGAGTCCCTTTTCTAGAGCCTTCCTTAGTCTTCCATAGGCATGATTTAATCAGGACATAGATGACTGAAATTTCTCAAAGGTCAGTGGTCTGTAATAGTTGAGAATTCCACATGGTCCTCTTGAGGAATATATTTGAGATTAGATCTAACAGGACTTCCTGGTGACCTGGATAGTAGGATGTGAAGGAAAGAATGAAGATGACTCCTTGGACCCAGCTACTATGGCACAGCCAATAGCATACAGAAATTTATAGCTAGAAGCCATATGCTGACCTCAGTTTGAGTCTCCAGCCTACTTAAGTAGAAATGAGAATCATAACCAAGATAATTCAAATATTTATGTAGTACTTAGTCTGTGCCAGGCACTGTTCCAAATATTTATCATGCATTAACTCAATTCTCACAACACTGTGTGTTCAGTTACTATTATTAGTATAGTATCTCCACTTCTGAGATGAGGATAAATGAATACTTAATGAAGTTAACTTGTCCAAGGTTATGTAATCAATAAATGGCCCAGAGTTTGTTCTCCTATTCTTGTGTTATACTTGCCATTATTATAACCTACTCATTGTCTTAAACCTATGTCTGTGTATCTGTTTGACCATTTGAGTTGGGGTTGGAGAGTGTGCAATAAAGTGATACTAGAATAAAACACGAAGACTATTAGTGAAAAATGCCACTTTAATCTTTAGAGGAGGAATTTTCTTTAGTATAATTGTATTATGCCAATCTGAAGCACAAACCAAGTTTTAACCCATATCTGAAAAGTAAATAAAATGGAGTGCCTGTTAACTGCATTTCTTTTTTAATTTTTTTACTTCTTTGAGAGGTTTTTGCTATAGGGCGTGTGTGCTCACCAGACAGACAGAGAGAGACAGAGAAACAGAAAGCGAGAAATCACCTCCCAAGAGGGATGGCCACGCCACAATCCCTTCTCCTCCGTTCTCCTCTCGTGATCTTGAGCGCGCACGCACACATGCCCAGCATGAGTTTTAAGCCACCAGGTCTGAGACACAAACTGCGGTCGACTACGTGAGAGTTCAGCGACATAACCATTACGCTAACTGCTGGTCCCTTGACTGAATGTCTTTATGAGATCTCGGTTTCCTAAAATGTCTCCAGAGAACAATCGAAGTAGACCATTTCTACAAAATATATGTAGGCTTATACCCCTACTGTTTCAATTAAATAAAGATACTTAAGTCATCAATGACTAGAAAATGTAAAACTTATGGTATAATAGCAATGTATGCATAGCTTAAATGAATCTATTAGGTGCTGATTGTTACCATTTTTTAGAGTGACCTTCAGAGTGCCCCTAATGAAAACAAGAATAAGACTTGAAAATAAAAATTATGTTATAGGGATTGTAGCGTTTCCATCTTCAAATCATACATGCTACCTCCCCTTCAGATGCCTCCATAGAAGACATTTCATGACTACCACCAAAGTGAAAAAAAGAAAAAACTTAGGGCCAGCAGGTGGTGCGGAGGTTAAGGTGGCTGAAATCCAACATGACTGATTGCATGGTTCAAGTCCCAGACCTGGCTGCTTGGAAATCATGCTGGGTGCATGTTCATACATACCTAAAAGTCCGAGAGAGAATGGAGGAGAAGAGAATACAGGGTGACCATCGTCTGGGGGTTGGGGACAGGGTGGTGATTTCTCTCTCCCTCTTTCTCTAGTGAGTGCACTCACTATAGCCAAACTAAAAAAATTAAGAAAGAAATTTTTCTCCTGAAAAACTCAGAGTGTGTGTCCTTAAAACATTCATATAAACATCCTAGAGAGTAAAATCAATTAAGCCAAAGATAGAAAATTGTTGAATATTTAAGAGGCTACAGTGCAGACTCTTTATGTGCTATGTAATATACTCCTGCAAAATTGATGTTGTTATTTCTATTTTTTTTTTTTTGTAATAAAAATGAGGTTAAGAAAGCACAAGTTGGGAACCAGCAGTTAGCGTAATGGCTATGTCGCTGGACTCCCACGTAGTCGACCGCGGTTCGCGTCCCAGGCCTGGGGGCTTAGAACTCATTCTGGGCATGTGTGCATGTGTGCCCAAGATCCTGAGAGGAGAATAGAGGAGAAGGGATTGTGGTGTGACCATCCCCTCTGGGGGGTGATTTCTCACTTTCTGTCTCTCTGTCTCTCTCTGTCTGTCTGGCGAGTGCACGTGCCCTATAGCAAAAAAAAAATCCAAAAATAAAAAGAAAGCACAACTTTTCATTTGTAGTACTAGAGCTTTGGAGACGGAATTTGTGCTTATCTCTCTTTTGTTTTAAGAATAATCGTACTGTTGTTGACTTTTAAAAAAATTTTAGTAGTTCTCTTTTTGTCAAGATGGTTGAAAGGAGGATGAATAAGAAACTATAGTGTTATATATTGCTTAGGCATGAGTAACTTCCTATTCAAAAGGGATGTTGTGTAATATGCCATTTCTTGTTCGTCCTTCTTAAATGGCTTTTCCTGTATAGTTTCTGTGTCTCCCAAGTTGCCTTTTGTTTATTTTGTTGTGGCATATTCATATTAAAAGTTTGTCTGAAATATTTGTTTACCACTTACATGTAAATCACTAAAATTAATGAGAAGCTCTGAGTACCTGGGTGGAGTTTATGAACTTAATTATATGGTGATTTGGTGTGGTGATTCATTAAATCCCTATTTACTCTCTTTAGGTCTTTTCTCTTGGGCTCATCATTTTACTCAGCTCTGACTGAATTGCAGCATGACCAAGCTCTCTTAAGGGTGCTTCTCGCTTTTCAGCCTGTCTCTGTCTCTGTGTGTGTACTTTTTATCTCTGGATACCATTTTTCAAATTAGAAAGTGTCTTTCTAAGGACCAGCAGATGGTGTAATGGTTTTGTCACTGGACTCCCATGTAGTCAACCGTGGTTCGAGTCCTGGACCCAGCAGCTTAAAACTCCCACGGGGAGAATGTGCGTGCATGCTCCAAATCCTGAGAGGAGAATGGAGGAGAAGGGATTGCAGTGCAGCCATCTCACCTGGGGGGTGATTTCTCGCTTTCTGTCTTTCTGGTGAGTTCAAGCTCCCTATAGCAAAAATCTCTCTCTAAAAACAAACAAAAAAAGAAATTATCTTTCTATTCTTGGTATTCTTATTTACTGAAAGTTTTCTTTTCGTTCTTTTCTTTTTAAAATTATGGTTACATATTTAAAAGAGCAATTTTTCTGCATTTATTTTGATAAGATTTTTTACCTTAGATTTATTAGTGAGGTGAATTCCATTATAGATTTTCTAATGTTGAACCTATCCAGCAGCCTGGAAAAACTCAACCTAGTAATGATGTATTCTGTTTTCACACTGCTGATTTGGGTTGCTAATATTTCTTATTTAGGGTTTTTGTATCTCTGCTCATGAGCAAGATGGCCACAATTTACCTTTTCGTAATATCTTTGACAGACTTCAGTATCACTGTGATACTGAGCTTCATAAATTGACTTGAAGAATACTTCTGCTTCCTTTCTAGGGAGAGTTTGAGTAAAAGGGATTATCTGTCCCTTGAATATTTGTAAGAATTCACTGATAAAACTAAATGGAACCTGGGAACAGCAGTTAGCGTAATGGCTATGTCGCTGGACTCCCATGTAGTCAACCACGGTTCGAGTTCCGGACCCGGTGGCTTAAACTCACGCCAGGTGCGTGTGCGTGCATGCCCAAGATCCCGAGAGGAGAATGGAGGAGAAGGGATTGTGGCGTGGCCATCCCCTCTGGGGGGTGATTTCTCGTTTTCTGTCTCTCTCTGTCTTTCTGGCGAGCGCACACGCTCTATAGCAAAAACCTCTCCAAAAAAAGAAAAAAAAAAAAACGAAATGGAACCTGTGTTTTCCTTTATAGGGAGATTTTTGATTACCAATTCAAATTCTTTAGTAGTTAAAAGACTGTTCAAATGACCAATTCTTAGCTTTGCTGACTGGTGTATTTTATTATTATTTTCGATTTTATTAAGTTCTTTTCATATTCTTTTTCTGTCTCTTTTTTTTTTTTTGCCTTTTCCCCTAACTTTATTTTCTAATATAATCATTTAAGGTTGTACAGTTTCTACTTTTATTTTTGGTATCGTACAAAATTGGCAATTGCGAATTTCAAAGGAGAGAAAAGAATCTCATTCTAAGTTCTGAACTGCTAATTGTGCCTAAAATTCACATTGCTTACTGTGTCAAACAATTTCGATATGTGCCTGGGAAGATTATACTTACCAACATTATTAATGTCATGTTTTTTTTTTTTTTCATGTAGGATTCACCTTTATTTGATCTTATTAAACAATCAAAAGACCGAGAAGGGCCATCTGATCACTTTGAAGCTGCTTGTTCTCTCAATCTTCCTCTCCAGAATAATCACACTGCAGCAGATATGTAAGTGGTTATACTGGGTCGTCGGAAAAGTCATAATGCATTTTTTGCATGGAAAATTACATCATGATTTTCCTGACAACCCAATGTATTATGTTATTCGTTCAAATAGATTTTGAACACAAATGTAATGCAAGGCACAGTACAGAAGCCATAGAGAATGGAAATTTGAGTAAGATGTTGCTTCTGCTTTTAGAATTAGGAGTATAAGATACATGATCTAAATAAGATCATATAAAGGAGTACAGAGTACTACTAAATCACCTTAGATTGACATGTGGGAGATAGTTTTCATGGCAGAGATGGCAATTTAGGTAGATCTTAAAAGTTGAATAGAATTTCAACATAGAAACTAGAGAGGAGAAAGGAAGCAAAATAAATAATATTCTAAGAGCCAAAAATGATATAAACCCAAAGGCATAACAGCCAGGAAAGCAGGTGGCATTTTTCAGATAGTGCAGATCAGTTCATTTGGAGTGAGCACAGGCTATTTTAGGGATCAGTGTGGGCTATGGACTTAATGATTGGTTGGTGTGTGATGACGATGATGGGAGAAGAAAGCAATTGCTATCATTTACTGAGTTCACTCTGTGCTGGGCAATTACCTATGTAGTCCAGATTATTTTTTTTTCCCATTTGATCTTTAAATCATTCCTATAAGGCAGAAGATATTGCTGTCAGCTTCAGTTATCTATAAAATGGGAATTAAAGAAATAGGTAACATCTAAAGCTAGGAGAAATCAAACTTATAAAGTCTGACTCCAAAGCCATGCTCCTAATCACTGTAGCTACACTACCTTTCATAGAAATGTGCCTAATGCAAGATTTCTGTTTAGTTCTTTATAGGAATTGACAGTAGACCATTTTCTAGAGATGTCATTTCCATGCTAACTTGTACCCAAAGCATTTCTAACATATGGAGCCTCTATCATCATGTATAAATGTGTTTGCTAGGTAGTACTTTAATATAAATAGGGCTTATTTCTGTTCTTTAATTCAATAAGCAGTTATCTGTTAAGTGCCAGGAAGTACTCTAGGCACAAGGAATATAGAAGTAAGATGGTCTAGGTCCTCTTCATAGAATTTACATTCTGGAGTGAACAAGTGAACTAACATGTAAGATGATTTTAGAGTAATAAAAGCTATAAAGGAAATAAACAGTGACATGAAAGAGACAAACAGAGTGATAGAATGTTTAGGGAAACTTCTATTTCTCTGATGAAATAGTATTTTGATTTAATACCTCAAGGTCAGGGAGATGCTGGCCACACAAAAATCTGCATAATATACATTCCAGGCAGAACAAACAGCAAGTGTTGTGTCCCTATGGGATCAAAGTCAGCTGACTTGTAGAAAAGAAAGAAATCAATAATAAATGAGTTAGGGATTGGAGAGCCAAACTGGGGCTAGGTCTTGCAGATTCTCATAGGTCATGGTATGAGGTCTAGATTTTATAGGAATGATGCATCCAGCTTAAGCAAAATGCAGCTTGCTATCATTTTTATTTATTTTTTTAAAATTTTTGCCAGAGGGTAGGTGTGCGTGCCATAGGAGAGAAAGAGAGAGAGAGAGGAAGTGAGAAAGTATCCCACTCGCTCTCTTGAGGGATGGTCATGCCACAATTCCTTTTCTTCCATTTCTTCTCCTTTCAGGATTTGGATATGCATGCAAATATACCTGGCATGTTTTTCAAGCTGCTTGTCTGGGACTCAAACTGTGCTGCCTTAATCGCCATGCCATGGGTGGACCCTATAATTCATATTTTTATTTTACTTATTTATTTATTTATTTATTAAACATAGATTTAGATGAACTAGCAGTCATGCTCTTAGGTATTAACCCAAGTGATCTGTCTACATAAAAACCCATATGTGAATGTTTATAGCAGCTTTATTCATAATTACCAAAACTTAAAAGCAACCAAGATGTCCTTCCAAAAGGGCATGGATAAACAACATAATTAGTGTTTTTAAAAGCCACTGCTTGAAGTCCAAGTGGATTGGAAGAAGAAGTATAATAGCTCAAGTAAGAAATTGGGAAGATCAGGTTGGAGACTCTTCCAGTAGTTTAAGTGAGCAATGTAGGTGACTCAAGTTAAAATATGGCATTAGAGGTAGAAATAGAAAGATCTGAGATGTATTTAGAGACAGATTTAAAATGTATTACATTGGTTTTACATGGGATTTGAGAAATTAGAAAATGGAGAAATTAAAAATAACTTCCAGATTCTTGACTTAAGACACTAGATATAACATGGAGTCATTTTTTTGAGATGTGAAAAACTAGAGGAAGAAATCCAGAGCTCCACTTTGGCCTTATTAAGTTTAAGATTCAAGTAGTGATATCTGTTAGGTCATTGGATCTTTGTGCCTAGGACTCCAGTAAGACACTTGCCCAAGTTAAGTCAGTCAACAGTATTGTCAATGAGTGAACTTAAGGGCAATTGAAGACAGATAATCTGACACTGATGATTATAAAATCATTGTGATGAGGGACCAGATAGTGGTGCTTTAGTAAAACATGATGCTCTGTGAGGCTGACCTACATGGGAAGGTTCCAGGGTAACGCCCAGAGACCTTTCTGGGTATGCCAGAAACACACTTGCCCAAGATCCGGAACTGGTGGAAGCTGGGATGACCTACAGCATCGAGATATTGGGTGTGCACGCTTTCTCTGTCTTTCTCACTCATGGAGGAAATGTAAATCATTTTTTAAGAATTATTTTTATTTTACTTTAATAATTATTATCTTTTTCTTTTTCTTTTTTTTTTAAACTCGAGAGACTGGGGGTGGGGGATGAGAAAATAAGCCACCAGGTCCAGGACTCGAACCATGGTTGCCCATGTGGGTCCCGCGCCCTCAACTACCACACCACCTACTGGCCTAAGTATTTTTTTTTTTTAAATCATTATGATGGTAAGTTTCTTTTCTTCAAAAAACTGAAATTAATTAATACACTGTAAGTAAGATATCTATAGTAAATTATAATACAAATTCTACTTCTTGTTCAGAATTATTTCGTAGTCACCCTAAAACAAAATCAGAAAATAGACCTGGATAATTCTGTTATATAGAAGGCAACACTGAAGAATAGAATTGCAGACATTGAAAGAATATTTGCTAATATCTCTGCCTGATTAATGCCTGATGTATTTAGTATATAGATATAAATATGCCTTGATAATGCTTTTTGACATATTCATTCATAGAATTATGTACTATATAATTTAGGTGTATTGAGTTTATATGTATATGTGTAATTTAATTTATGTATATGTGTATATGTGTATTGATAATTATCAATAAAAATTTTTAGTAGGAAAACAAATATAACACTATTAGATAGCAATTACTTTTTTAAAAATTAGAGTCATTTTATGGTCTCAATCTCACTATAATTATTTACATTCAACCTTATACATATGTAAGTATTATTTCTGTTATTTTCCCAATACACCAGAAGTTCCCAAGGAAAGCCATTTGTTCAAATAGAGTTAGATATGATGATGAAAACAGTTTTCCTATTATCTTATCCCACTTGTATTTAAATAGCCTGACCAGAGAATTTGATATAGAATAACAAAGTAGACAAAATGAAACTAGATATACATGTACAACCTTGGGTGTGTGTGTGTGTATGTATATGTGTGTGTGAGAGATAGTGAGAGAACAAGAGAGAGAGATTCTTAGCAAACTTCAAATGAAGGCTTTTCTTTTGAATACATCTAGGTATCTTTCTCCTGTAAGATCCCCAAAGAAAAAGGGTTCAACTCCACGTGTAAGTTCTACCGCAAATTCAGAGACACAAGCACCCTCTGCCTTCCAGACTCAGAAGCCATTGAAATCTACCTCTCTTTCACTCTTTTACAAGAAAGGTTAGTAGATGATTACATTCAAGAGAATGGATTCTGAAATCAGGCTAACTGTGCTCAAATGATGACTTTTTAAATTTTACATGGTGAGTAACCTTGTTTGTGAGCTTGGGCAAGTCACTTAATATCTCTATCCCTTATTTTCCTTATCTGTATAATGGAAATAATAATAATCAACCTTGGAATAATAATGATCTACCTCATAGGATTTCTGAGATAATTAAATAAACCAATACATATAAAATGCTTCCAACAGTGCCTCATATGTAGCAAGCACTCGAAGTGTTAGGTGTTATTGTTGGTGCCACTGGTATTGCTATGCTTTCAAATTAATGTTTGGAAATATTTGCCTTTGACCTTACTTTTGCTGTTCAGGCATGTATAGAGAGTTAAGATTTTATAGTGTGCTGTTGCCTAGTGCAATCACATTTTCTGGATATTTTCAAGACATTGAAAAAGGCCAGTGACAAGGTTGATAGCATTCTCTGACTGAATGTAAATGTAGCAGAGTGGAGAGGTCAGTTTGAGTGTACATACATTCAAGTGCTATTTGACTTAGAGTGAAAGGCCTGATTCCTATGTGATAAGATTTTTTTTTCCTAATTTTGATCACTTCAGAAATGTTCTGAGCTTTACAAAAATATTTAGGACCTAGCCCTTCTGTTAGAGTAGTGGTTCTTAAATCACGGTTCCTAACCCCCAAAATCTGCATCACCTGAAAAGGTGCAGAAATGAGAATTGAGGGGGCTCTGCTCTAGACCTGTTTAATTAGAAATTGTAGAATGAGGTTCCAAAGTTCTTGTTTTAACAATCTTCCAAGCAAGTCTGATGTACACTAAAGTGTGAGAACCACTGGGAGAAATTGTTACGTTTAAATATTTTTGATTGCCTTATGGAAGAAAGGTAGATTTTAAATCAGTTTTTATATTTAAAGTAGATGGGAAACGATTCAATTCTGTGAATTTCTTTTCTCCAAACTTGTGTTTACAGTAGTCATTATTTAATAGATTCTCTACATCAATTTCATATCAGTTATGTTTCACTTAGATTGTCTACAATCTACCATTTTCCAACAACATATTCTCTATGAAATTGGCATTTCATAGAGACATGCATGATTTGAAATATTTTTAGAATTAGAAACAGTTAATAGACACTTGCAATTCAAATATTTATCTCTCTTGAATATTGACTATGAGAATTTGCAATATCGGTGATGGGTGGTTACCAATGGAAACAAACCCTGTTCGGTTAGCCTAATCTCACAGTGTCTTAGGACTTTTCTTCTGCCTTCACCTCTGCCTCAATTTCTTGCTGTCATAGTTAATCCAGCAAGTATTACTGTGCCTCTTATGTACCTAGCACTATGCTAATACTTGGAATTATTTATTAAAAAGGAAAATAGTGATAAAGGTAAGGTCACTGTTGAAATGCTATTTGACAGCATTATGGTTATAGAATTTAATGATTTTTAAAAATCTGCTTGTACTCCAAAACCAACAGTAAAGATGACTAATTATCCTTATCTCCACAGTGTATCGACTCGCGTATCTTCGACTAAATACTCTATGTGCACGCCTTCTGTCTGACCACCCAGAACTAGAACATATCATCTGGACCCTTTTCCAACACACACTGCAAAATGAATATGAACTCATGAGAGATAGGCATTTGGACCAGGTAAGAAAATTGAGCACTTTACCTTCTCTCTTCCCTCATTATTATTATTATTATTATTTTGAGATAGAGAGATTTTTGCTATAGGGTGTGTGCGCTCACAGGAGAGACAGAGAGAGACGGAGAGACAGAAGAAGAGAAATCACCCCCCAAGGGGGATGGCCACATGGCAATCCCTTTTTTTTTTATTCTCCTATCTCCTGGACCTGGTGGCTTAAAAAACTCATGTTGGGCATGTTTGTGTGCATGTTAAAGATCCCACAAGGAGAATGAATCGCGGCATGGCCATACCCCTGGGGGATAATTACTCACTTTCTGTCTCTATCTCTCCAGTGAGTGCACATGCCACATAGCAAAAATCGCTCTTAAAAAAAAAAAATAAGTTGATCCAATAAAACAATACTGAATGAATGAAAGGAGTTATCTTACAGAGAGTGATCTCTCATATTCTCTTTTATTCTGCTCTGTAAAACATATTAACGAGCAATATTTTTTGGTAATAACTTTATTGATGTAATTCACATACCAAACAAGTCACCCATTTAGGATGTATAATTCATTGGTTTTTAGAATGTTTACAAACTTGTTCAACTATCACTACAATTTTAGAACATTTTCATCACACCAAAGAAGCCACATGCTTTTTAGCAGTCATTCCTTTTTAACACAATCCCCAGAAGCCTAAGCAATGCTTATCTGTATTCTGTCTCTGTAGACTTGTCTATTCTGGATATTTTGTATGTATACCCAACAGAAATGAAAACATATGTCCACACAAAGACTGGTACATGAATGTTTATAGTAGCATTATTCATATTAGCCAAAATAGTTTTTAAAAAATGCCCATCAATTGATAAACAATAGATATAATGTGTGGGCTGGACATGGCCCAGCAGTACCTTGACAGACTGTGAGGCTGACCCATGTGAACATTCTGCGTTTGCATCCAGAGACCTCCCTGACTACTCTAGACATATGTATGCCCATGATCTGAGACTGGAGGTAGATTACAGCATAAGAATCACATTGAGGGTACCTATCTTCCTTCCTCTCTTCCATGAACAAATGAATAAACTAGGGCCAGTTAGGTGGTGTGGTAGTTAAGATGGCTGGATCCCATATGGCAAAATCCATGGTTCAAGTCCCAGACCCCATGGCTTGAAAAACGCAGCAAATACATGTGCATGTATACCCAAAGTCCCACGAGGAAATGGAGGAGAAGGGATTAAGGTGTGGCCATCCCTTCCAGGGGTGATTTCTCACTTTATTTCTCTCTATCTCTGTCTCTCTGGTGAGTACAGACACCCTATAGTAAACAAAAATAAATGAATAAAAGAAAACAAAGAAATAAATAAAAGGAAAAAAGAAATGAAGTAATAATGATAATATGGTACAAGGGGTTTATAGACAGTTCATAGGAAATGCTTATTATGAAAAACTTTGTAAGGATTTCAAAATATTTTGCACCAAGGGACCAGCAGTTAGCGTAATGGCTATGTCGCTGGACTCCCACGTAGTCTACTGCAGTTCGCATCCCAGACCCGGTGGCTTAAAACACGCCAGACGCGTATGCGTGTGTGCCCAAGATCCCAAGAGGAGAATGGAGGAGAAGGGATTGCGGTGTGGCCATACCCCCGGGGGGTGATTTCTAGCTTTCTGTCTCTCTCTCTCTCTCTGTCTTTCTGGCGAGTGCATACGCCCTATAGCAAAAACCTCTCCAAAAAAAAAAAGAGAGAGAAAAAAAAGAAAAAAAAAATTTTTGCACCAAAATAAACCTTTACTTTAATTCCACTTTTCCATGAACATTTTGAAATTCTCTTGTGTAAGTGGAATTATATATGTTCTCTTGTGTCTGACTTTTTTATTTATTTAGTCATTCACTGTATATCAATACAGTATACAAAATGAGATTTTTCCATCCAGAATGCATTATATAATGTGTTATACAATCAAGGCTATTACCATACATGTTATCATTAACAAATAATTTTCTATTTCTTATTTCTAATATAGCTTGCCTTCCCCTCCCACCCCCCGATTTCCTGCCTCTCACCCTGTTCCAATTCCTGGCTTTCTCCCACATCTCTGATATGTACAGTTGTTTTCCATGTATTTTTTCCACATTTTACTGAGTCACTAAAGATCTTAATTAAAAACCTTTCAAAAGCAAGCACAGCTGATATATACACATCTATGAACACATGCCTGACTTTAGGCATAAACCTCAGTGAGTAAAGTGAATATACTATAAAGTAGCACCTTGCTGGGACTATATAGCTTACTGCAGTCATTAAATAGGTACTTATAGGTATTTTAATGCATTTTTTTATTTCAAGAAAAACAGTTTTAATTTTAATAGATCAAAATCAAAAAATGTTAAGAGAATTTTCCTTAAAACTTAAAGCCAGGAAAAAAGGTTAGGATTCAGTTCAAATAGTAGGTAGATGAACTGATCAACAGTTCAAGAGAAGACAAAAATCCCAGGGAACCAGCAGTTAGCGTAACGGCTATGTTGCTGGACTCCCACGTAGTCGACCGCAGTTCGCGTCCCGGACCCGGTGGTTTAAAACTCATGCCAGGCGCGTGTGCGTGCGTGCCCAAGATCCCAAGAGGAGAATGGAAGAGAAGGGATTGCGGCATGACCATCCCCTCTGGGGGGTGATTTCTCGCTTTCTGTCTCTATGTCTCTCTCTGTGTGTCTGGCGAGCGCACGCGCCCTATAGCAAAAACCTCTCAAAAAAAAAAAAAAAGAGAGAGAGAGAGAAGACAAAAATCCTTAAATATGGAAATCAAAGCATTGAAGAAAATCAGTATGTTTTAGTCTAAAGTCAAAAAAATTCTATTTCACTAGTTTAGACCCATATAATTAATCTCTCTTCTATTGAATTTGCATTGTTACTGTGGTCTGATCTTTCCATTTAAACTCTGGAAGTTAACATTCAGCTCTGGATTTGTCCTACCATTAGGCTGGCCATTCTCTTGGTTGTTTCTTGTACTCTTATTTCTGTGTGTCCGACTTTAGTTTTCCTGGTATAGCACTCCCTTCAGCACTTCTTGGAGAGCTGATCTGGTGTTGGTAAATTCTTTCAGGTTTTGTTTATCTGAGAATTTTTTTTGTCTTTTTTTCCCATATGAAAGATAATCTTGCTGGATATAGTATTCTTGGTTGAAATTGCTGTTCACTTAATACTTTGAATATATTTTCCCATTCTTTCCTTGCTTGCATTGTTTCTGATGAGAGGTCTGACGTTAGCCTTACAGGATATCCTTTGAAAGTAACTTGAAGTTTATCTCTTGCCAAATTTAGTATCTTGTCTCTGTCTGTGGTTTTGGTCAGTCTGGCTATGATGTGTTATGTCTGACTTTTTTTACTTAATGTTTTCAAATTTTATCTGTATTGTAGTTTGTATCAGGACTTCATTTCTTTTTATTTGCCAAATAATATTCTATTGTATGGATAGATACACATGTACCTAGGAGTAGAATTGATGGCTCATGAGGTAACTCTTTGTTTAAACTCCTGAAGATTTTTTTCCCAAGTGATTGCACCATTTTACATTCCTCCCAGTAGTGTATGAGGTTCCGCTTTTTCTATATCTTCATCAAATGATTGTCTGTTCTTTTATTATAAACACTGTAGTGTGCATAAAGTGGTATCTCACTGTGGTTTTAATTTGCATTTTCCTAATAGTTAATGATGTTCAGCATTTTTTAACACATGCCTGACTTTAGGCATAAACCTCAGTGAGTAAAGTGAATATACTATAAAGTAGCACCTTGCTGGGACTATATAGCTTACTGCAGTCATTAAATAGGTACTTATAGGTATTTTAATGCATTTTTTTATTTCAAGAAAAACAGTTTTAATTTTAATAGATCAAAATCAAAAAATGTTAAGAGAATTTTCCTTAAAACTTAAAGCCAGGAAAAAAGGTTAGGATTCAGTTCAAATAGTAGGTAGATGAACTGATCAACAGTTCAAGAGAAGACAAAAATCCCAGGGAACCAGCAGTTAGCGTAACGGCTATGTTGCTGGACTCCCACGTAGTCGACCGCAGTTCGCGTCCCGGACCCGGTGGTTTAAAACTCATGCCAGGCGCGTGTGCGTGCGTGCCCAAGATCCCAAGAGGAGAATGGAAGAGAAGGGATTGCGGCATGACCATCCCCTCTGGGGGGTGATTTCTCGCTTTCTGTCTCTATGTCTCTCTCTGTGTGTCTGGCGAGCGCACGCGCCCTATAGCAAAAACCTCTCAAAAAAAAAAAAAAAGAGAGAGAGAGAGAAGACAAAAATCCTTAAATATGGAAATCAAAGCATTGAAGAAAATCAGTATGTTTTAGTCTAAAGTCAAAAAAATTCTATTTCACTAGTTTAGACCCATATAATTAATCTCTCTTCTATTGAATTTGCATTGTTACTGTGGTCTGATCTTTCCATTTAAACTCTGGAAGTTAACATTCAGCTCTGGATTTGTCCTACCATTAGGCTGGCCATTCTCTTGGTTGTTTCTTGTACTCTTATTTCTGTGTGTCCGACTTTAGTTTTCCTGGTATAGCACTCCCTTCAGCACTTCTTGGAGAGCTGATCTGGTGTTGGTAAATTCTTTCAGGTTTTGTTTATCTGAGAATTTTTTTTGTCTTTTTTTCCCATATGAAAGATAATCTTGCTGGATATAGTATTCTTGGTTGAAATTGCTGTTCACTTAATACTTTGAATATATTTTCCCATTCTTTCCTTGCTTGCATTGTTTCTGATGAGAGGTCTGACGTTAGCCTTACAGGATATCCTTTGAAAGTAACTTGAAGTTTATCTCTTGCCAAATTTAGTATCTTGTCTCTGTCTGTGGTTTTGGTCAGTCTGGCTATGATGTGTTATGTCTGACTTTTTTTACTTAATGTTTTCAAATTTTATCTGTATTGTAGTTTGTATCAGGACTTCATTTCTTTTTATTTGCCAAATAATATTCTATTGTATGGATAGATACACATGTACCTAGGAGTAGAATTGATGGCTCATGAGGTAACTCTTTGTTTAAACTCCTGAAGATTTTTTTCCCAAGTGATTGCACCATTTTACATTCCTCCCAGTAGTGTATGAGGTTCCGCTTTTTCTATATCTTCATCAAATGATTGTCTGTTCTTTTATTATAAACACTGTAGTGTGCATAAAGTGGTATCTCACTGTGGTTTTAATTTGCATTTTCCTAATAGTTAATGATGTTCAGCATTTTTTCATATTTTTATTGGACATCTGTGTATCTTCTTAGAGAGATGTCTATTCAGACCCTTCCCCCATTTAAAAATTTTTTTGTCAAAGGGTACATGCATAGACCAGAGACTTAGAGGGAGAAGGAAAAAAACATCCTCCATGAGGGAGTGGTTATGCAACAGTCTCTTCTCTATTTCTCCATCCTGTTGAGATTTGGGATACATACTCATGGCACACACATGCACCAAGCATATTTCTCAAGTCTCTGGGCCTGGGACTTAAGCCACATTGTTGGCCATGTGGGATTCAGCTGTTTTAAGCACAGGACATGGAGCCAGCCACTTTGCCCATTTTTAAATTGGATTATATATCTTGTCTTATTGAGTTGTAAGCATTCTCTACATAGTCTATTTGACTCTTTTCATATATAAACCCTTATCAGGACCATTATCAGAGCCAAATATGATTTGCACATATTTTCTCCCATTCTGTGAGGTGTTCTCTTTTTTTGTTTGTTTGTTTGTGATGATGTCTCTAAAGCACAAAAACTTTTCATTTTAATAATGTCCAATTTACCTAATTTTTGTTGTTGTTGATACTGGTGCTTTGGTGTCATGTCTAAGAAATCATGGCCAAATCTGAAGTTATTTTTATCCTTAGTTTCTTCCAAGAATTTTATACTTTTAACTATATTTAGGTTTTGATCAATTTCAGCTAATTTTTGTATATCATGTGAGGTAGAGTTCAATTTCATTCTTTTTTTTCTATTTTATTTTATAATTTCTTATTTGCATTTAATTGTTGTACATCTCTATGAGGTATAATATGGATTTTCAAGACATGCATGTAGTGCATTACAGTCAAACCAAGAAAGCTGTGTTCACAGTTCCTTTATTTTGTGTGTGTGTAATTAGTTACTCCACCACCATTTCTTGAAAAGTCTTCCTCCACTGACAATTGTCAAAAAAACATATAGGTGTCTAAATATTTATTTCTGAACTCACCATTCTATTCCATTGATCTGTATAGCTATTTTTATTTTGATTACCATAGCCAATAGACTACAAATAAATTAAGAAAGTAGGTGTTTTAAAGTTCCAGGAACTCATTTGTAAATCTTGTTTGTGCATTTAAAATATTTTTATGAAATGCAATAGTCATACAGAAAAATCCATGTATCATAAGGATAGATCCTAATGAAAATTTATGAGAGGAACTCACCTGTGTAGCCAGCATCCAGATCAGGAAACAGAACATTATCAACAGTACAGAACATTTGTTCTTGCCTCCTCTTGTCACTTCATCCTCCACCACCACACCACAAGTGTGTTCTGTATTAATTTACCCAATAGTTTGAAACATTTTTTTACACCAGACTGTTTTTTTTTTTATTTTTCCAGTGCCTATTATAAAATTAATTGATTTAGGTTTCAATTTTTCTCTTCTGGAGACAATTTAAGGAACAGAAGCCAAAGCTGGGTAATTTATTTGTTAATTTGCTCAGTCCTGAATAACTGAGAATTGGTTATTTGCATTTAGTTCTTTTTTTTTTTAATTGCCATGGGTGCTTGTGCACTAGAGGAGAGACAGAAAGGGGGATAAAGGGACCAGAAGTTGGTGTAATGGCTATGTCGCTGGACTCCCATATAGTCGACCATGGCTCAAGTCTGGACCCGGTGGCTTAAACTCACGCTGGGTATGTGTGCGTGCCCAAGATCCTGAGAAGAGAATGGAGGAGAAGGAATTGTGGCATGGCCATCCTCCCGGGGGGGTGATTTCTTGCTTTTTGTCTCTTCGTCCTTCTGGCAAGCGCACGCACCCTATAGCAATACATACATACATACATACATACATACATACATACATACATACATACGTACATACCTCTCCAAAGAAAGGGGGATAGCGTAAGCACCTTCTAATAGGGTGTGGTTGTGGTACACCCCTTCTCCTCCATTTCTCCTTCCCATTGGGATCTGGGCACACACATGCCCAGCATGTTTTTCAAGCTGCTGGGGCAGAGACTCAAACCATAGTTGGACCTGGATTAGCCAGCCACAGACCACAGGGATGGCCCTTCTTTTTATTCTTCAAATACAATTTGGGTTAACACTTTACACAGTATTTCAAACTGAGCTCAGGATGAGGAAAAAAAAAAACTGTAGAGATTAATTATTTATTAATTAATTATTTTCCCTTTTTGAGGATAAAAGAGCAATAACACAGTACTTTCAGAAACATAACCATGGGATAAAATTCTATTTTCATATTACATATACTTCCTAGATTATGATGTGTTCCATGTACGGCATATGCAAAGTGAAGAATATAGACCTAAAATTCAAAATCATTGTAACGGCTTACAAGGATCTTCCTCATGCTGTTCAGGAGGTAGGTGATCTTTCATGGTAACTTTTTTTTTCCTTTGCTTTAAATAAATCCATGTCCATAATATAGATAATTTCAGTCATTAATTAGATCATATATTCTGACCTTATATATTGGGTTGTCAGGAAAGTCATGACGCATTTTTGCATAGAAAAACAGAAAAATACTTCATGATTTTCCCAACAACTTAATAAATTCACAAATCGAATTTTTACTCTTACAGTATTGGTTAATTATTTGTAACTAGAATGGAATTGGAAAATTAAAGCAGATGATGAAATTATCCAAATTCATAGTTTTTTTTTATAAAGTTAGTAAGTAATGTTGCAACCTTACAATAAGCAGGATATGTGTGATAAACTTAACATGTATAAGAGGACATCAGATGCTTCTTTAAGTTATTTTTGTTGCCTTATGGAAAAAATCCAATTTAAATGCAACCTTGTAAAGAAATGTTACAATTTTCAGTGTAAACATATTTTGTGTTTCTATTTTACTTTCCCTTTAGAGAAACAGTAGTAATAAAATATACTTGGTGTGACCCAGACTTCCTGCTCTTCTGTGGGAGGTGGCTCATGAGTTATATTTCCAGTTATCATTAGAATTCTCAAAAGTAATACAAAACCGGGAACCAGCAGTTAGCGTAATGGCTATGTCGCTGGATTCCCACATAGTCAACCGCGGTTCGTGTCCCGGACCCGGTGGCTTAAAAAACTCACGCCGGGCGCGTGTGCGTGCGTGCCCAAGATCCGGAGAGGAGAATGGAGGAGAAGGGATTGTGGCGTGACCATCCCCCATGGGGGGGTGATTTCTCGCTTTCTGTCTCTATGTGTCTCTCTGTCTGTCTGGCGAGCACACGCACCCTACAGTGAAAATCTCTCAAAAAAAAAAAAAAAAGTAATACAAAACCAAGATATTTTTTATTTTTATGTTTGAAGTTATTTTCTGCATAATTTTAACCCATGAATATCAGAGGCATCCTATAAAATCCCTGTGCTTCTGCCAAACTGGAATTTGAGTAAAATCTATCAAAAAAAATAATGTAATGCTTTTCTAAGTGTTTACCTCTAATGGAATAATACACACTTTTTGAGCCCTTATAAATCAAGGCAGTGTGAGTAGATATAGGCCAAAGAACATAGTTTAAATATGTATAGATAATATTGTTAGCTCTTGCTCAGCTTGGGCCCTTGCATTTCCATTTACCAACCTGCCCACTCCTCTCTTTCTCATGGGAAGTATTCCATCTGCTGCTGCCACACTGCTTTTTTGATTCATTCTGTCGCATTTTGCTTCTGATAGAACTACTGTCATCCAAACCCAAAAAGGTTTCTTCAAGTTATTTTTTTCCTGTATAGTATGTGTTTCTTACAAGTGAAAGTATTGCAAATTATTAGAAAAGATAATCTGAAGAATTTCTAGATTCACTTAACAAGTGTTTTTACTGTTATTCTTCCTCAGACATTCAAACGAGTTCTGATCAGAGAAGAGGAATATGATTCTATTATAGTATTCTATAACTCGGTCTTCATGCAGAGACTTAAAACAAATATTTTGCAGTATGCTTCTACCAGGGTATGTTGAAAGTATCCTTGGATTGTGAATATTTAATTAATAAAATAATGGGTCTAAAACATTAAATAATCTTTTTTGTTTTTGCTTTAGCCCCCTACCTTGTCACCAATACCTCACATTCCTCGAAGCCCTTACAAGTTTTCTAGCTCACCCTTACGGATTCCTGGGGGAAATATCTATATATCGCCCCTGAAGAGCCCATATAAAATTTCAGAAGGTTTGCCAACGCCAACAAAAATGACTCCAAGATCAAGGTTTGTGTTTTCTCTTTAGGGAAGTACTAAAGAATAATAGGGAATTTTTAAAATCTAATCATAAGATATCAATAGCTTTCTTTGTTTGAAATGAGTTGGACTCCTTGTTCTCTAGTTTGATTATTTATTAAATGATATGATAAGAATTTGGGGAGAAAGAAAAATCTGTTTACTTGGATAATTTCATAAAGTAAGTCATCGACTTTCCTGGCTGCTGGGATTTCTTCTTTTATAGTCAGTCTGAGAACCAGTTTGGTTTTATATATATATATATATATTTTTTTTTAAAGAATTATTTATTTATTTAATTCTATTTATTATTATTATTTTTTAATTTGACCAGAATGAGAGAGAGTGTGTGAGAAAGGGAAAGGGCAAAAACAAGCCTCCAGGTCCGGGACTCAAACCATAGTCGGCCTTGTGGGAATCCAGCTTCTTTAACCACCATGCCACCTGCTGGCCCTCGTTATTTGTTTTAAAACATGTTCATATTTTGTAAGAAGGCAGTCTGCTAAACAAAGTAGATTACATTAGGTTAAGAATTTTTATTCTGGGGTTGGCCTCATTTAGTGATTACTGGAGCTGTGTCCCACAAGGCCAACTGCAGTTTGTATCCTGGCCGTAGTAGCTTGGAACACATGCCAGGCAAGTGTGCATGGGTGCCCATAATCTCGAGACTGAGGAATGGAGAAATGAAGGAGAAGGGATTGTGGCGTGACCACACCCCATTGGGGGGTACTTTCTCCCACTCTTGCTCTCTTTGTCTCTATGATGAGCACACACTGCATCTGGCATTTTTAAAAATTTTTATTCTGTAGTTTATTGGATGTCCTGTATACATTTCATGGGCCTTGTTCATTTTGCATTTATTAAAATGAAGATGGCTAATTAAATGTAGATGACTGTTAATTAAGTCTTTAGAGGTTCATCCCTAATTCTACCCATGGTCTCTTATATTACCATGGGCAGGGCTCTGTCTTTCTGTTCTTCAGAAGGCTGCTGTGGATCAGGTAAATGATGAGTGAGAAGATGTTTTAAATTCTCAGATGAAAGGTTCTGTGCAACTTTAAATGATTATACTATCTTCTGCATCCAACCATAAGTGCTTTCTGGCTTTGAAGTGCTTCAATTGACTAATTATGTGTTATCATGGGTTATTTGAAACTGACTTCATTTGCATAAAGTAGGAGGCTGATTAGCGAGTATAGTTAATGTAGTCATCTCAGAAATTGTCAGTCCATCTAGTTGTATCTAATGGGCAAATAAGAAGGGACTATATTAGCCTTTTAGAAAATATTTGTGCAATGTTTTTAATTATGTAAGTAATACATAAGCATGATAAAAATCTCAAAGTCTACAGAAAAATATAAAATAAAAAACTATTGACAATCTGATACAAACTCACACACACACCTGTGCCGTCTTTTATTTATTTGGTGTTCCTGTGGTTGGCTATCTATACACTGATAGCTACAATTTACGTTATAAACTGCTAAGACACCACACCATGTCTAAGTCACTGTACACAGCCCCACATTACCACATGAAAAGTATACTTAGGCATTTTTTTATGATGATAATTAATCTATATTACGGTGATAATGATGACTGTTGGTTGATCTTACTGAAAACAATTCTGTATTGATGTTCTTTGGCATAAAAGTCACACTCTGAAAATCCTCACAGATAAATCATTAATAAGGCATTAAAGAGAGCATCTTAACACTCTACTAATCCTGTATATTTTGGTTTTATGGTTAATCAAATATTGTAGATGGAATGATGTCCACTTATCAAAGAATTGGAGGACAATAAATGTATATATCTACTAGTGCATATTTTCAAATCTTTGTTGATTTATGTCAAGTTAATGCCGTTATTCAGCTCTGTAATCAAAAATAGAAATTATATGATTCAAATAAAGGCAAACCAATAGAAATCTCTGTTTCTAGGATATGTGATAAATAGCTTTTACTACATATTATTATAGATCCTAATTGGAGTTCTTATTATTACATAATAAGAATTATTCTGGGGAACTGTTAAGTTTTTGCCAAGTGTAATTTGAATTTTAAATGTGAAAGAACTTTGATAATTTTCCTATTGATGTATGAAGAACCAAATAGAAGTAAACTTAATATTTCTATTACTGTCTTTAAATGTGGACAGTGGTAGCCCATGCTCTCACAGGCTTGTAGCTTATAATTTAAAAATCTCAGACCACTGAGCTTATGAGCAGACTAGTACTGTTGGGATAAGCCCCTAATGAATGTAGTTTGTCAGTGTTTCTAGGGTAGAGGAAACATTTGACTTGGTATTCCTGATAGTTCAGAATGATGTTTCTATGTTCCTCTCTGCACAGTTGTACATAATTTTCATTACTAATTTGTATTTGATCTTAATTTGACAGAATCTTAGTCTCAATTGGTGAATCATTTGGGGTGAGTATTTTCTTTCTATGAGATATAGTAGCATACACTGTAACTGTAACAAATATTAAGGATTTATATAATTTGGGACCAGCAGATGGCACAATGGCTATGTCTCTGGACTCCCATGTAGTTGGCCACAGTTCGAGTCGCCGACCTGGTGGCTTAAACTCACGCTGGGCACATGTGTGTGCATGTCCAAAATCCTGAGAGGAGAATGGAGGAGAAGGGATTGCGGCATGGCCATCTCCCTGGGGTTTGACTTCTCGCTTTCTGTATCTCTGTCTCTCTCTGTCTTTCTGGTGAGCGCATGCACCCTATAGCAAAAACCTATCAAAAAATATTTATACAATTTGAATTTAAAAGGGTACTTCAAAAAGTTATGGGGGGGGGACAGCAGGTGGCATGGTAGTTAAAGGGCACTGGATTCCCACACGGCCAATCATGGTTCAAGTCCTGGATCTGGCGGCTTCCTTTCTCTCTCTTTCTAGTTAAATTAAAATAATAATACTAATTATAATAACAAATTAAATTAAATAAATAATTCTTAAAAAAAAAAAGTCATGGAATGGGTTATTGTGTGGTATGGTGGTTAAGGTGTTGGACTCCCACATGGCCAATTGCAGTTTGAGTCCCAGACCTGATGGCTTGAAAATCACACCGGCACTTTGTATGTGTATGCCCAGACTCTCAGGAGGAAAATGAAGGAGAAGGAATTGTGGTGTGGCCATTCTCCAGGGGGGAGTGATTTCTCACTTTCCCTCTCACTGTCTCTGTTTCTCCAGCAAGTGTACATGCCCTATGGCAAGAACCTAAAATCAGTCATGGACAATGGAATAGTTTATTTTAATGAACTCATGCAAAAAATTTTTTCATAATATAGGTAGGTGTTCCATGAAATTTTTAAAGACTTGTTATATAAATGTTGTCATTCAAATACCTCATATAGTCATACTGTATAGAATTTAGGAAATTGTGTGTGTGTGTGTGTGTATACATACACATGTATCTCAGATTTATTTTTAAATCAGATTTAATTTCAAATCATAGTCATAATTAGTGAACTTCAAAATTAATTTATAAATATTCCTTTGAGACTATAAAATACATTTATACATGTACTTGTGTATATATGTGTATATACATATATATATATATACATATATATGAACTGTTTTTTTTAAGTTAATTCATTTCTTTCTTCTATGAGCTCAAGTGAGAGAGAGAGAAAGCACCCCTAACAATCTTGATGCCATGATCCACCCCCAGCCTTCAACCTGCCCCAGATCACGGGCAAGTATGTGCTTGGTATACTCAGGCAAGCCTCTGGACTTGAACAGGGAACTTTCCCATGTGTGATTGCCTATCAGTGTCACATTTTACCATTGCACCACCACCTGGCCCCATGAGCTGTTCTAAATTCACACATCTGACACCATATGTGGGATTTTTATTCTCCATTTCTCTAAACATGACTAATGTCCTGCAATTCAGTTCAATTCTGACACTTAATTACTTGGTGTTACCATAGAGGCCACAGGTTAAAGGGCTCATTCCCACAACAGTACCCTCACTTCAGAGGTCAGTCACAAACATTGATCTCCAGGTAACTTTACTTGGCTGTAAAGTCAGGGGGTTCCCACAATACCTTCCACATTCAGGTTTGATCATTTGCTAGAATGACTCAGAAAACTCTGGAAGATACTTTACTACTATTATCAGTTTATCATAAAATATACAAATGAACAACCAGATGAAAAAGTTCATAGGATCAGGTCTAGACGGGTAACGAGCATAGGAATGACCCTGTGGAGTTGAAGTATACCACACTCCCAACACTTGGACGTGTTCACCAACTATGAAGGTGCTCCAGCTCTGTCATGCAGGGATTTTTTGTGGGGGTCTTACTACATACCATACTTGATTAATTCAATTCTAGCCCCTGTCTCCAGGTTAGGAGGTGGAACCGAAAATACCATACCTGTAATTAAGTCTTGATCTTTTTGGTAATTGACTGCCAACCTGAAGCTGTCTAGGAGCCCATCAAGTATCATCTCATTAGGACAAAAGGTCCTATCACCCTTATCAGTCAAGAAATTCCACAGGTTTTAGTAGCTCTGCTAGAAACCAGGGACAAAGACCAAATGTCTTCTGTGATACGCCACATGTATGCGTATCATCTTCCAGAAATGTTTATAAAACAGTTTTGAACTTCACTAATTAGGAGTATGATTTGACATGAAATACTCCAAAATGAAAGCGCCCTATCCAAATGTCACTAGCCTGTCCCTACATGCTGGTCTTCTTTTGTACATATGCTTGTTTTCCCTCCCAGACTTCTCAGGCTTAAAGGATATTCTTTCTCTGGTACATTGATTAGGACCTGGTTACCTGAGACCCTGTCTCAGTAAAAGTAACAGGGCTTATCCAGTGGTCTTTGTTCTAGGAAATCAAAGGGGAGACTTATCCTTGAAACAGTTGTTCCAGGTGAGAACCCACTACTCCAGTGGGCCTACCATAGTATTGCTAATTCTGCAGTCTCGTGTTGGCATGCATTACTATTAATATGTTGCACCCCTTCCACCACTCCAGAGAGCTTGTGGTCTTATAGGAGTATTATTTACTCCCACATAAAAAAATTCTTCCCAAATGCGTGGACTTAAACATTACTGTGGCTGGCAGGTGGTGTGGTGACTAAAGGCACTGGATTCCCACCTGGCCAACCACAGTTTGAGTCCCGGACCTGGTGGCTTGCTTTCTTGATTTCCCTTTCTCTCTTTCGCTCTGTCGCTCTCTAGTCAAATTAAAAAATAGTAGTAGCAAATGGAAATAAATAAATAATTCTTTAAAAAAACAAACTAACAAAATTATTTCACTTTCTGTGGGTCTGTAATGTAGGCATGACTTAGCTAGGTTCAGGGTTTCTTGCAAGGCTGTCATAGATGTCAGCTAAGGCTGCAGTTACCTCAAGGCTTGACTGAGGAGCACCCACTGGGAAACTCACTCATATGGCTATTGGCTGACTGCTGCCGGCACAAATCATCAGTTCCTTGCCACTCGGGCCCTCCATAGTGCTCCTGGTTCCTCACAACATGGCAGCTTGCTTCCCCCAGAGCAGGGATCCAAGAGAGAAGGAAATAAAGGGCAAGATGAAGTATAGTTATAATCTAATGTTGGAAATGACCTCCCATCAATTTTGCTGTATTATTTTAGTTAGAACAAAGACCACACTGGGTCCAACCCATTCTCAGCCCCTCCACAGAGGGTGAATACCAGGAGGAAGAGATCCCTAGGAGCCATTATGTACCCCATGGCCTCAAGTAATATAACTAGAGAGAAGCAGAAGTCTGTATAAGTGACTCTATTTTAAAATGTATGTTATAAATAGTGCTGTGACAGTTAATTCAATATGAGCTATAGCCGTCAAGCTTCACAGAGGCAGGTACCGTATAAGTAGGGTTCAAGCTGGATACGTAGGTATACAATAAGTGATCTTCAAATGTTTTCATTCACTATAAATAATTATTGAGGAAAATATACACTGCTTACTAAAAATATTATTATTTTGTGGAGACACAGCATTTATTTCTTTGTCATAATATGTATACGTGTGTGTGTGTGTATATATATATATGTACATGCATATATATATATATATATACATATATAT